TTAGAAAGAAGGAAACTGAAGATCAGAGAGGTAAAACAACTCCTTAGGCCACAGAATCTGTAAGTCACAAATCTTGAACATGAAGCAAAGTCGTTAGTGTTCAGGTCTTGTATCAATTCAAGTAGACCTACTGCCTTTATGTCATATATGTTGTGAGGCACTGTCCAGATCCCCTTTCAGGAATGAAGGACTTAGACCCCCAGAGGACTTAATTCCTTATTCCAGCTGCTGGCAGGAAGCTCTCAGTTTCACTCACTTCTGATACTGGCGTAGCTGAAGAGAGAAACTCACCCAAGGTTACGGCTCTTTCTGGGAGCAGTCACAACCAATGACTCCTTGCTGAACAAAAGCCCAGCCCCCTTAGGAAAACTGAATGATCATCTGAGCTGGGGAAGCTTCCTGCAGGGTTGGAGGGGCCTCTGTCAGGCTGCACAGGCAGCATAACGTCCCCTTCTACCCAATTGTGGCTGTTCTCCTTCCCGGATGTTGATTCTAAGTATGCTCCTCAAGAAGCCTCTCTGAACTAATCTCTAATCCATGACATCTTGATACCTCAAACGTGCACTCGCGTTTGAGGTGTGAAAAAATTCACACTCTGCATTTGAAAATTCTGTACAGAATTCCACTGATTAACAAATGTTAACTGAGCATTTACTACTTGCTAGATATTGAAGATACTTAAAGTTTATAAAACTTTACATTATTTAAAACATTCAGTCTAGGGGCCTCTGGGTGGGTCAGTGGGTAAGTATCTAACTCTTCATTTTGGCTCAGATCATGATCTGATGGTTTGTGGGATCAAGCCCTGCATTAGGCTCTGTGCTGACACTGTGGAACCTACTTGAGATTCTCTCTCTGCCTCTCCCCTGATCATACTCACTCACTCTCTCTCTCTCAAAATAAATAAATAAACATTAAAAAAATGAAACAATCTATCTCCAACAAAGTTATATTATAATCTAAACCACAAGAGATAAAAATCAACATTTATATTTACCTTAATTGGTTGAGAAAGAGGTTTTATGGATTCTGATCTAAAAAAGATTTTTTAAATGGATTTGTGGATAACGAACCTAGATAATGCACTGTAACTTGCTAGGAGGTCATACCCTTCCAGCCCTTTTCAGAATTACATTTTAAGGCCAAGGCCAAACACATAGAATTTAAGTTTATCAAATTACACCGAAGCCAAGATTTGAATAAGGATAGATATCCTGAGCATAAGGGCTATGGGATAAGAAAACCCATTTTTCCAAGATGAGATTTGAGGGCTAAATAAAAATGCAAAATAAGTTTCTTTCTGGTGTAATCTGCCCCTACTATCTCACTCTGAGACCAAGCTCATCCTAGGTTTGTGGCAGACACATATGACACCAAGCACTTACTTCTGACGTCTGGAGATCTTATTATCAAGGGGCGAGAAGTGTGAGGAGAGATGCAGGTACTTTCTGCCATGTAAGTATTCCATTTATGAAAAGCCTGTGGCCTTTCCATGCTAACAAGAGAGGGGTCTGTATGGAGGTGTTGTTCTGGTTTCCCATGTAACTTTAAGGGAAACTTGTACAATGTCCGGTGCCCTTGGTGTCCCGCAAAGGGAGGAGGATGTGGTCTAATTCCTTGCAGCAGAACCCGCTTAGATGACACCAACCCTGACTTCCAAATGGAAGTACATCTACAAAGGGAAAATGATGGCGCATTAAAAATCTGGAGAGATCCTGTGAGAAGTTTCTGCCGACAGCTTGTTCCACTGTTGCCATCAAACACCCGGCTAATGGCAGCATCACCTCCTCCAGGGACACTGGCCAGTGGGCTGTGCTCACGTGGGCTGCTGCCGCTGGAGCCCCTCCTACTGCGGCCGCTTCACTCCTGGAACCTTCACTAACCAGGTCCAGGCAGCCCTCGGGAGCCGTGTCTTCTGGTGGTTACTGAGTCAGGGCTGACCGCCCGCCTCTCACAGAGGTGTCCTATGTTAACCCACCTACCATCGCGCTGTGTAACCCAGACTCTCCTCGGTGCTGTGTGGACGCTGCCACCCCACGCAACAGCAAGGGAGCTCGCTCCGTGGGTCCGAGGTGGTGGATCCTGGCCCGGGAAGTTCTGCACATGCATAGCACCATCTTCTGTGAACACCATGCGAGGCCACCCCTGACCTCTCCTTCTACAGAGATCCTGAGAGACTGAAAAGGAAGAGCAGGTGAGTGCTGTAAAGGCTGTGCCCAAGGAGGAATTTCCAGGTGAATGGACTGCCCCATGTCCCGAATTTATTGCTACTCAACCTGAAGTCTCAGGTGGTCTGAGGCATGCAGGGTCCTCGGCGCCTATCCCGCAGAGACTGGGGCTCTCAGCCACCGCTCAGGCCTGGGCTGCAGCTCCCCCTGCTCGGGCCCCTGAATGGGGAGGAACAACCCCTGAGTGATCCTAAGTTGCTCCTTCCACAGACTCTTAAACAGAAATGGAAATAAGGTTGGTGGAAAATAAAGTTTCTTAAAAGAAAAAAAGGGCCTGTTATTAATAGATGACCTGAACCTCAGAAAGGCAGGTAGCCTGGTGTGGTGGTGAGGGCATGGGTGCATTTAGATTAATTATAATTCAGGTCCCAGTTCTACCACTTACTTGCTATAGAACTCTCAGCAAATTACATAATCTTTTGGGATATCACTCTTATCTGTTCCACAAGGGCAGGGACCATGTCGTGTTGTGCTCACTGTTGTATATTCAGTGCCTGACAAGCCTGGCACTGTGGCATTTGGTACCAAATAAAATAGGGTATTAAGGGAGTGTATGGAGAAAGAAAAAACCAGCCCCTGATATTCAGAAGTTGGCCTGTGTATTCACAGGTAACCCACTTTATTCTCCTTTTAGACATAAGCAATTTCACAGTATACCAACCTCTGACAAGGTTACTCAGACACCACACCATAATGAGACAAAGCAAAGTCACTGTATAATTTTGTATAACCATAGATAAATACAAGGTCACTGTGCCACCCAGAAAATACCAAATACCCCCTCTACTGGCCAAGATGAGTAACTGCTACTTCTTTACTAATTGCAGCTTTCTGCCTCTATTTCCATACATAAGATTTGTTGAGATATCCATTTATAGAATTACCCCGGCTTCCTGACAGCGTTCAATCTAGAGCAGACCTGCTCTCTTAGACCTTCTCTCAAGTTACCTAATGAAAGCCCAAATTCTACGATAGGTTTTTTTCTGACACCCTTCTATTGATACACTCCATGATTCCTCATGGCATGTTGGCATTCACTTCAGTGAATAATAGACACAATCTGTTTAACTGCAGTTGTACTGCTAGTGGTATTTGGCTTAAGGGAAATGACAATAGGAATGGAAAAAAATGGGGGTTAGGTTGTTTCTTCAGAGTTGTTATGCATATCAAATGGGTAATTAATTTACCAACACATATTTAAGGTCTGTTTTGCCCCAGGCACTGGGCTAGGTGCAGGGAATCCGGAGAAGAATGAGACCAGCAGTTGAATCTGTGAAACATGCAGAGTAGAAAGTTTATGATCCAATTTAATGTTGTTTGCACTATTATAGAGGCATACACCTTCTACAAAAATGTCGTAGGACCATACACAAAGGAGGAACATCTTTATTAGATTTACAATCTCCAGAAGTGTAAGATAATAAATTTGTGTTGTTTTAAGCCGTAAAATTTGTGATAATTGGTTGCAGCAGCAGCATTAGGAAACTAATATAGGATACTTGAGCTTAATCTTTAAGGTGGATTGTCCCAGGCACAAGCAAAGGTAGACTAGTTCCTGGTAGGCTCTGCCAGTTGGCCTGTATGGCTACATGCTTGGGAATGTGACAGGGTATGTCAGGATTAGATCTAAAGGGTCTTCTTTCTATGCAAAGAAATTGGAAATTACCAGAAGGTTATCAGAGATCACCCAAGGATTAAAAGCAGGAGAGTGTGACAAAATCAGAATTGCATTTTAGAAGGATAGGTTGGAGTCTGGGAGTACGGGGAAGGAATGGGAAATTACTTAAGTAACCCAGGCAAGAAATGAGAGGGCTTTTTTGAACACCTTCTATTACATGACCTTGCTTATTCCTTGAAATTTGGGGTGAGAAGACAGAAAAAAAATGTGCTCTCCAAATATTTGAGATTCTGTCATGAGAAACTGGTTAGCCATGGTCTGTGCAGTTCTAAGATCAGGTATAAAGTCGTAAGGAGATATGAAGTGTGCTATTAGGAAGCACATTCTAATAGTGGACTAAAACTAACATAGGCTTCTTCACAAATAATTGTCTTATGTTTCTTTCTTTCATCTATTCAACAAATCTGCATTTGAGAATTTAGGATGTAGCAAGCATTAGGCATATGATGGTGAACGAAAGAGACACGCCACCTTCGATGTAATTTAATTTCTTTGTGTATTGTGGTACTGTTTACAGATAACTTTTATATAATTATTTAACCATGAAGCAAGCAAGCTCCCAATCAGGATATCTAAAACGTGATCTAGGGGCGCCTGGGTGGCTTAGTCGGTTAAGCGTCCAACTTTCGCTTGGGTCATGATCTCGCGGTTCGTGGGTTCGAGCCCCGCGTCGGGCTTGTGCTGACTGCCAGCTCAGAGCCTGGAGCCTGTTTCAGTCTGTGACTCCCTCTCTCTCTGACCCTCCCCTGCTCACGCTGTCTCTCTCTCTTTCTCTCTCTCCTAGAAATAAATAAAACGTTAAAAAAATAAAATAAAATAAAATAAAATATAAAATAAAATAAAACGTGATCTATATACATGGGCCAGGTTAGCTTGGAGTGCACTCTGGCCAGGGGAAATCGGGAAGGACGATAACCCAGTAAACGAGTTGGAAAGTCTAAGTCCCAGCCACTATTGCCGCAGAGAGGCTATGCCTTCCCCACCCCTTCCCCTTGCTCCGCCTCCAGGCCCCGCCCCGACCGCGCGGCTCGCCTATGCCCTCCCCTTCCTCCGCCCCCACCCGCTCCTTTAACCCACCGTTATCAGCCCGCGGGACTTCGAGCTCTTGTCTCGCGAGATTTCCGCCGTGTTGGACTTCGCTGTGGTGGCCGCTCGAGAGGTGTCAGGGACTGTTTTGTCGCAGTTTTCCCGCAAAACTGGGTCTGTCCCAGAGGGGCTAAGTAGATTGTGGGCGGAGACCCGACTTGCTGTCGCGCGTGGTCCCTGAGGAGAGAGTGGGGCGGATTCCCCGAGTTCCGGCCGGCCTCGGGCCGCGTGTGTGCCGCGTGTGCGCTGCCTGCCCGGAGCCCCCAGAGGTTCCGCCCGGAGCCCCCAGAGGTTCCACCCGCAGTGTGCTGGGTCCGGGTGGGTGGCCCGCCACGCCGTGGGCACCCCCGGCGGGTTCTGCGGCGCGGGTCCGAGGCCCGTCGCTGCGGGCGTGAGGGTGCAGGTGGCGGCCCCGGCCCTGTGGGAGGCCTCCTCGACTCGCAGGAGTTGGCGCGGTGGTGATGCTTGCAGTCAGTTGCCGAGTTAATGGCTCAGGGTCTTACGTTTGGGAAACTCTGGAACTCTTTTGGTTCTGGTATGAAGTTACTTCTTACAGAGTTGCCAGAGGGAATTGGTTCTTGTTTGCTGCTTTATGAGGTTTGTCTGACTTACTCAGAGAAGGAAGATTTGTATAGAGGTGAATAGACAAGTGACTTAAATCCCACGATTCATTCTCTCTCTTGAATTCAAGGTGTACAGAAACATGGAGTATATGACGGAATCCACCGACCGCACCCCTGGACACATGTGAGTCATTCCTTCCCCCCCAACCCCTGACATTTAAAGATGCTAAAGTGAGTCTTTGAAACTCGCTGTGAAGAAAGCTTTTTTTTTTTTTCCCCTTTTTTCAATGGGAGAACTCTTCATCTTAAGTGGGGAAAGTGGAAATGCTTTATTTCTTGAGAAAATCGAATTCATTTTTAGTTGGAAAGTTTATTGTGGTAAATACTCGTTTTAAGAGTATTAAAACATTGTCTATACATTCTTCTAGATTGGCACTGCCCATGTGTTAGCCATTAGCCATGTGTGGCTAATATTTAAATTTAAGGAAACTAAGATGAAAGAAAATTAAAAATGAAGCTCTTCAGTCATACTAGGCATGTTGCAGGTCCTCAGTGGCCACATGTGCCTGGTCACTACCATATTGAACATTATGGATTCTAGAACATTTCTTTGGGACATCAGTGGCTCCTAAACATTTTCTGCCCCAGTACTCCTAGAGTTAAGATGCCTGTGCATTTTGCTGAATCACTACATATGGTTGAAAAATTTTCTGCTCTGGGTGAAGGCTTACATTTCAGCAGTCCTGTCCTGGCATCTTTAAAAAATGTCTTTGGACTATAAAGCTGTCCAATGATTATGATTAGAAATGATTTTACACTCTCTAGAGCTTTTGAACAACACCGTATCTTGAGGGGTTTTGGAGTAATAGCCGTCCTTGTTTTCGTTTTTTGTTTTTGCCACGGTATTCCAAGGTGATACTTTATAGCATCTTTGAAGATTGCTCTGCCAGTTTGTTTTTTTTAAACCAGAGCTATATGGCCTAACTTGAAAGGCTTTTGTTTGATAACCAGTGCATTTATGAAAGCTAACGTGAAAAATTTATGCTTTATTTATTTAAGCTTGTGCTGCGAGTGTGGTGTCCCAATCAGCCCAAATCCTGCCAATATTTGTGTGGCCTGTTTGCGAAGTAAAGTAGACATCAGCCAAGGCATTCCGAAGCAGGTCTGCGTGTCTTTCTGCAAGCAGTGTCAGAGGTATGTATGGTGTCTACTGTTTCATCCTACTCACAGTTGAGGTTAGTATACAGGAGAGCCACTGGCATATGCTAGATGACACCCACATACGTAGAATAAGGTGCATGTAATTGACATTCAGTTTTTATTGATGTTGGTGTTGCCAAGGATTTTAGGATTTGCAGTTTTGTAATGTACGCTTCTAGCTTGCCCTGCTAATCTGGTAAAGTTAGTGAAAAGGCGCTTAACTCTTTTTAATTTTTTTCCTTGTTAGGGATTAATAGGTTTGCTGTATACAGTTAATAGACACAAGTTGATGTTCATAAGGGTAAGTGAAAGCAGATTACTAAGGACACAATGTTATTATCATTGGGTTTTTTTTTTTTTTTCATTTTAGTCACCAGAAGCCATGTATGCTAAAGCCTCTTAAGTTTTAATGTTTTAAGTAATTTAGCAAGGTGTTTAAAAAGTCTATTAAAATCCCCCTGTAACTAAATGACTGTAGTAAGCTATCAAGTAACACAAAACTGCCCAGTGACACTGCCCATATAAAACTAACTGCCTGTGATTTCCCACATGGGTTAGGACGGTAGTGGTTCTTTACTTTTTTAGGACTGGGGAAGGTGGCTTATGAATCCCTTTAGGATTTTGAAAACTGTCTTTTGAGAAAAATACTTAAAATGTACATATATGCCAAAACAGACTGTTCTGTACTATTTTAGGGAATTTACAGTTTGCAGGTTTGGCAAGTAACAAGGTTTGATCAGTTACAGATATTTGCTATTGAAAACATGGTGGAATAGAAGAAGCCCTAGACAAAGAAGCAGGGGACCTAGTTTGTCTTGGATTTCTCACAACTAGCCTTTTGAAACTCTGCCAGTTAACCTGTCTGAACCTTAATTTCATCATCAGAATGAAAGGGCTTTGTTAGTTGATATCTGAAGCCCTTTCTGACTCCAGAAGCATGCTTATTACAAACGGACCTATATAAGGGTTTTGAATGAAACTTTAAGGGTGAAAATCAGAATATGCACTTAATCATGGCAGACACAAGCATTCACATAACATATTTAGAGTATTATGTATTTAACAGATTTGTTTTTTAATTTTTTTTAATGTTTTATTTATTTCTAGGAGAGAGAGAGAGAGAGCGGCAGCGCGAGCAGGGGAGGGTCAGAGAGAGAGGGAGTCACAGACTGAAACAGGTTCCAGGCTCCGAGCTGGCAGTCAGCACAGAGCCCGACACGGGGCTCGAACCCACGAACCGCGAGATCATGACCTAAGCGAAAGTCGGACGCCTAACCAACTAAGCCACCCAGGCGCCCCTGTATTTAACAGATATTTATTGAGCAATTACTATGTGCTTGGTACTGTCCAAAGTCCTGAGTAGGCTGGGTTAAAAATCTTAAAGCTTGTGCACAAGGGATTTAAGTTTTAATTTAATAAGGTTCTATGTAAGGTTTAGTAACGAGTTTTACAATTTAAAATTTGGAAATGGGGGCGCCTGGGTGGCTTAGTCAGTTAAGCGTCCGACTTTCGCTTAGGTCATGATCTCTCGGTTCGTGGGTTCTTGCCCTGTGTCGGGCTCTGTGCTGACTGTCAGCTCGGAGCCTGGAGCCTGTTTCAGTCTGTGACTCCCTCTCTCTCTGACCCTCCCCTGCTCATGCTGTTTCTCTCTCTCTCTCTCCTAGAAATAAAAAAAAAAAAAAATATTAAAATTTGGAAATGGACTTGAAATAGATGAATAGTCTGAACTACCATTGATACATAGTATGAGGTACTAATTTATCATTTTTGTGTGTGAGAAGTTAGTAGTTCTCAAGCATCTTAGAGGTTTATTTTAAACTGTTCTAATACCACTTTAAGATGATTTCTTACCTGTTTTTCAGAGTGTAGCTTCTTACTGTGTCGGTTCTCACTGGAATTCTTTGCTGGTGCTTGAAGTATTAAGACTTCTATTTAAAAATTTTTTAATGTTTTTTATTTATTTTTGAGAGAGAGAAACAGCGTGAGCAGGGGAGGGTCAGCATCAACTGACGAATGGATCAAGAGGATGTGGTTTATCTATACAATGGAATACTACATGACAATGAGAAAGAATGAAATCTGGCCATGTGTAGCAACATGGATGGAACTTGAGGGTGTCATGCTGAGTGAAATGAGTCAGGCAGAGAAGGACAGATACCATATGTTTGAACATATAGGAGGATTAGGAGGAAGTTAATGGAGGACCATGGGGGAGAAGAAGGAGAAAAATAGTTGGGGAGAGGGAGGGAGGCAAACCATGAGAGACTCTTGAATGCTGAGAACAAACTGAGGACTGATGGGGGTGGGGGGGAAAGAGGGTGATGGGCATGGAGAAGGGCACTTGTGGGGATGAGCACTGGGTGTTATATGGAAACCAACTTGACAATAAACTATTAAAAAAAAAAAAAAAAAGACAAAAAAAAAAGGACAGAGGAGACACAGAATCTGAAACAGACTCCAGGCTCCCAGCCAGCTTTCAGCACAGAGCCCGATGTGGGTCTCGAACCCACAAACCATGAGATCATGACCTGAGCCGAAGTTAGATGCTCAACCACTAAGCCACCCAGGTGCCCCTGAAGTATTAAGACTTCTTTAAGAGTTTATTTGAGAATGGCTTTCTCAAATATACTTGGGATTTCACATTTTAAACTAAAGCTGCTGATCTAATTGAACACTTTCTGGAACTATTAAATATATTTGAGTTAAGTGCTTCATATCAACCTTGGATATTATTATATCATTAATAGTCAGTGGATTGTCTGCAGATTCACATTGAAATTTTTGTTTTTCCTGAGAAATGCTGGATTTCAGTGTTATTTTCTTTCTCAGATATTTCCAGCCACCAGGAACTTGGATACAGTGTGCATTAGAATCCAGAGAACTTCTTGCTTTGTGTTTGAAAAAAATCAAAGCTCCTCTGAGTAAGGTAGGTCTGTCAGTTAAAATCAGTTTTTGTAGGTATGTGCTTTTGTTTTTACATTTATTTTCAGATATCTCTTATTTTCAGAAAATCCTATGAGTAGATTTTCCAAAAATAACTTAAATGTTACTGTTGGTAAGCACCCTACCACAAAACTGTGTCCGTTTATTTTTTTTTATGGAAATGAAAATCTTTTTGCTTTAAAAGATTTAATATAAAATCTTTTTTTTCATTCAGCCAGCCTCTTATGTGCAATAGTTTTTTCTGAAAATATTTATATAAAACCATTGCTGAGCTGGTGGCTCAGTCAGTTAAGTGTGTGACTCTTGATTTCAGCTCAGGTCTTGATCTCATAACCATGATCTCATAACCTGCAGCAGGCTCTGCACTAAGCACGGAGCCTGCTTGGGATTCTCTCTCTGCCCCTCACCTGCTTGTGCGTGTGCACACTCTCCCTCTCTTTCACGCAAATGAAAAATAAAGCCGTAAAAAAAAAAAAAAATACCATTGCTAAAATAATATAGGAGGTTATAGTATTAGGGCTCTAGTAGTCAGTTTCTTTTTATTTTCATTAGTGCTCTAGAAAGAAAATATTTATACCTGTTACTTAAAGTCAGTGCATCATTGTCTCCAAAAAACAAATAGGATTTTAGTCCACTTTACCTCTCTGCATAACACTTCCAGTCGTCTTTGTGTTAAACTTTGACACAAGGTATGTTTGTAATTGAAATGGACTCGGTTTGAAAGTCTTCAGATTCTATTTTATTTTATTTTTATTTTAGAGAGAATCTCAAGCAGAAACAATCTATGCTCTCAGCGTAGAGCCCAATGGGCTTGATCCCATGACCCTGGGATTATGACCTGAGCTGAAACCCAGTTGGACGCTCAGCCGACTGAGCCACCCAGACGCCCCTTCAGATTCTCTTTTAAGCTTTGATAAAATAATATGGAATAGTTCTTTGAAATTTTTTCCTTTGTTTTCTTTTTTTTTCATCCTTGGAGTTTCTATTAGTCAGATGTTGACCCTATTGGCTTAAAATTTTGTCCTCTTCTCCTTGGGATGTTTTTAATCTTTTGGTCTTTTTTTCCTGTGTTCTTGGTGATTTCCTTTGCTTTGTCTTCCAGTCTCTGTATTGATTTTTGTTGTTGCAGCAGTGATTTAAAAAAAATTTTTTTTTAAATGTTTTATTTATTTCTGAGAGAGAGAGAGAGTGAGACAGTGTGAGCAGGGGAAGGTCAGAGAGAGAGGGAGATACAGAATCTGAAGCAGGCTCCAGGCTCTCAGTTAGCTGTCAGCACAGAGCCCGGCACAGGGTCGAACCCACGAACCATGAGATCATGACCTGAGCTAAAGTCAGACGCTTAACCGACTGAGCCACCCAGGCTCCCCCAGCAGTGATATTTTTAAGTTCTAAAATCTTTACCAAAGTCTTAATGTTTTTGATGCATTCAGTTCTTTTTTTAAAAAAAATTTTTTAAACTTAAAAATTTGCATATAAATTGACATACAATATTACATTAGATTCAGGTGTATAGCATAGTGATTTGACATCTTTATATGTTATGCTGTGCTCACCACAAGTGTAGCTACCATCTGTTACCATACAACGCTAATAAAGTTTAATTGACTATATTATCTGTATTGTACCTTTTAGCCCTATGACTTGTTCTGTAACTGGAAGCTGTATTTTCGACTACCCTTTCTCCCTTTTGCCTGCTTCCACAGCCCCCTTCCTTCTGTCAACTGTCAGTTCTCTGTATTTATAGTCTGATTCTGCTTTTTGTTTGTTCATTTGTTTTTTAGATTCCACATATGAGTGACATCATATGGTATTTGTTTTTTTCAGTCTTAGTTCACTTAGCTTAGTATCCTCTAGGTCAATCCATGTTGCTGCAGATGGCAAGATATCATTTTTTTTCATTTATTTTTATTTATTTTTATTTATTTTGAGAAAGAGAAGAGAGAGAGAATCACAAGCAGGATCCGCGCTGCCAGCGCAGAGCCTGATGTGGGGATTAAACCCACAAACCGTGAGATCATGACCTGAGCTGAAAACAAGAGTAGGATGCTTACCCAACTGAGCTACCCAGGTGCCCCAAGACATCATTCACCCAGGTGCCCCAAGATATCATTCTTTTTATGGCTGTGTAATAATTCCATTCTGTATATAGCACATCTTTTTTATTCATCCATCTACTGTTGGACACTTAGGTTGCTTCTTTATCTTGGCTATGGCAAGTCATGCTGTAGTAAACAGGGCTGCATATATATTTTCCAGTTAGTATTTTTTTTTCCTTTGGGTAAATAATAGTGGCATTATTGGATTATATGGTATTTCAATTTAAAAAAAATTTTTTTAAGTTATTGATTTTGAGAGAGACATAGAGAGCAGGGAAGACATAGGAGAGAGAGAGAGAGAGAGAGAGAGAGAGAGAGAGAGAATCCCAAGCAGGCTCCACACTTGTCAGCACAGAGCCTGATGCAGGGCTCAAACCCATGAAACACAAGATCATGACCTGAGCTGAAACCAAGAGTCGGTCGCTCAACCAACTGAGCCACCCAGGCACCCCTGATATTTTTTAATTTTTTGAGGCCCATACTATTTTCCATAGTTACTGTGCTGATTTACATTCCTACCAGCAATAATGCATTCTGTCGAATTTTTCTGAAGATTTAATAATAACTTTTTCAAAAATTTCTTTCTGTTCTCCTAATTTGTCTCTGGAGTCAGTTTTTTCTGTAACTTGGTCTCACTTTTGTATTTCTGGTTTTCAGGCTTTTGTCAAATGTCTGGTGAGCCTTAATAATTCATTAGTTCGTTCAGCAGTGTTTATTAAGTGTCATCTCTGTGCCAGTCTGCTTTTGGTCTTGGGGATATAGCAGAGACAAAAATGTCTGTCTTAGGGAACTTTTATTCTGTGTTTTTATTTTTTTAAGTAAACCGATGCCCAGTGTGGGGCTTGAACTCAATAACCTGATCCTGAGATCAAAAATTGGATGTTCTACTGACAAAACCACCCAGGGGCCCCTAGGGATCTTTTATTCTAATTGGAGGGGAGTGTGTGATGTAGGCACTGAACAAAATAAGTTGAGGTATTACACAATATATTAAAAGGTCTAAATTCTGTGGAAGGAAAAACTAGGAAGGAGAAAGGAACTACATAGGTAAGAGTTGCAATTTAACCACAGCAGTTGGCATTGTATGCCATCTATATGCAAACAAGTAAGTGAAATAGAGTGGTGACATTTGAGTATGAGAGGGAGCTGTGCAGAAATCTGGAGGAGAAGAGACTTCTGGGTAGAGAAAACAAGTGTTAGGCTAGAGGCAGGAGCATGCCTGTGTGGATAGAGTGGAATGAGGGGGGAAAAGTAGTGTTGGATGAAAACAGCAATCATTGAACGTCATGGAAGGTCAGGTTTTTACTCTAAATGTAATGGGTATAGTAGGTATAGTATAGAGTAGTAAGATGAATGATTTATGTTTTATCAGGATCCTTTACTGCTGTGTTTAGTATGCATGTGAGAGAGGAGGTGGTGAAGGTAGAAGTGGGCACCTTTGGAGAGTGATTGTAGTAATCATGAGTAATGGTGGTATTTGGATCAGTAGTGGAAGTGGTAAGAAATGGACGGTTTCTGGGTCTGCTTTGAAGGTAGTCAGTAGGATTTACTTATGAAGCTGGATGTGTGTATGTGATTGGTGAGTGTAAGGATGATTTGACATCCATGATTCTGGAGCAACCAGAAGGAGGGAGTTGCTGTTAGTGAGATAGGGAAGACTTCAAGAGGAGCAGGTCATGGTGGGAGAGGTTCGAGCTATTTCATAGTGGTACTTAGATGTCCATTAAACATGGAAGTAGAAATAGTAGGCAGCTGGATAAATCAGCAGGGGAGTGGTCCAGACTGGAGATAATGAATTTGTGATATAGATGGTATTTACAGCTGTGAAATTGAATATTTCCTAGGGAGTTTAGCTGGAGAAGGGAAGAAATTTGAAGACTGAATCCTGGCATCTTTTACTGATAAAAGCTTGGGAAGATGATAAATCAAAGGAGACTGAAAAGGAGTTGTTAGATGAAATAGATAAAAATTATGTGAGTGTAGTATTTTGGAACACAAGGGAAGTATTTTACAAAGGAAGTGATTGGCTGTGTAATTTACAGTTAATGGGTTAAGCCATGAATTCTGTAGATTTAGCAATGTGAAGATCACTGATGACTTTAATAAGCAATTTATTTTTAGTGGTAGAGATAAAAGGCCTGATTTGAATGGAAATGAGAGAATAGTACAGGAATTGGGAGTAACAAGCATAGATTTTTTTTTTTTTTTGAGATTTGCTGTAAAAGGAAACATGGGACAGTGGGTAGAGGGAAATAAGTAGCAGGGACCCATTGCTCAAGATGTGAGATGTTATATTTATAAGCTATATCTGGGAGTTGTAGAGTACAGAGGAATAAATTTGTGAACCTGCACAGAGACAGAATAATTGGCTGGGGCATGCCCTTGAGGAGTAGAAATGAGATAGGATATAGCATACTTTTGGAAGAATATCAATAAATATTTGGCACTTACTCTCTCCCAGGCACCATTTTGGGAACCTGGAATATTTTTGTGGAACAAAACAAGTATCTCTGCTCTCTAATGGGGCATCTTAAGGTGGTCTTGGTAGGAGCAAGGACAGTTCATCTGTGGTAACAGGAGAGAATGTAATGGTAAGTGGGAGCTTCTGGAAAACTTTATTACTTTTCTAATTGAGAAACATAAGTCGGGCCAGTAGTTATGAGGGGAAAACTATTAGATGTTTGAGGATAGAGGAGAAGTGGTGAAATAGTCCTCCAGTGAATGGGAGAAAGAATGTACTAGAATGATGTTGTATGGTTACAAAGATTACTGTTAAATATTTAAAGACTAGCATGATGTGTGATTCTTCTCTAGCCCCAACAGCTGTACAGGTAAGGTGTAGAGCAGGCAGTATACCAAATTTAACAGATTGTGATTCAGCCAGATGACTAACGTAAAGTAAGAGAGGAACCAAGGGAATTGAGTGTATTCATGCCAATGGTTTTGATGATTGATCTTGAAATTAAGCTAGGATATGATGGAAGTGAGTAGACAAAGAAGCATGAGAGATAGTGATAAGGTAATAGGATGAATAGATTGTAGGTTGCAATAGGTTGAAGGGGTTTTGGTGCCCAGTAACTAGAGCAAATGAGCTGGAAAGATAAGTGGGGGATGGGATGTTTGGAGTTGAGATTTTGGAGGGATTTCAGTTACTGGTAAAACTTGTAAAAGGATATGAATAGCTGAGAGAGAAGTTAAGACAAGATCTTGTAAGAGGAACTCAGAATGGAGATACTAGAGTACTATAGGGATAATCTGTAAGGATATTGAAATCACCAAGTACTAATATTGTTGGAAACAGCAATAGTGAACCAGGAGCTAAAGTGTTTTGGAAATGAGAAGAGGTGACCCAGGGGCTAACATGACTATAACAGAGTGGGTAGCATTGCCTTCAGATTCAAAACTGGGTGTATTTGAGGAGGAGGCAGGGAGGTGGTTTGGAATTAGCAGTTAGGAACAAGAAGGACACCTGTCTGGCTCTTGGTCCAGGGATAGGAATTTAAAAAAAAAAAAAAAAAAAACAATTAGTCCTTAATTAGCTGCAGGGGAGCAGTATATATAATGAGGAGATCTAGAAAGTGAAAGGAATGTTTAGCAAAGAGATTGAGTATTTGGGAGGTTTTGTTGTTAGTGAATGTTGAGTTCCAGAGAGCACTGTGTTCAAAATTTTGGGAGGAATGTTAGATGGGACAAAATAGGGAATATGTGGAACTATATGGAAATTGGAGTGTGGGAGATGAGTGGCTGAAATGTCTGAGAATGTTGTAAAGAAGGAGAAAGGTCCCAATGAAGTTGATTAAGTTGATCAGTTCTGATTGTCTGAGGACTGATAGTGTGGTGAGGCTGTTAGGGAATGTTGAAATAGGTGTCATGGGTCTTCTCTCCATTCCTGTGGATGAGGTTGGAAGCTGAGGGAAGGGCAGTCCTTTGGGCTGCCTTCTGGACCTTTGCAGATGGAATTAAAAGCTGCCTGTCACCCTCTGTACCTGGTGTGGCTTATTGACTGCTAGGTTTTGCTTTAGAGGAACCAGTCATGAGGAAGGTTTTACTCTGGAGTGCTGCATCTATGCTAGCTAGTCTAGTTCTTATCAGACAGAGTTGATAAAATCATTATCTGCCCACTGATGTCTCCCAAATCTGTTCTCTTCAGCTCAGTTTTCTCCATAGAACTCCAAACCAAATAACTATCCACTGAACAATTTCATTTGGGTGTCTCATAGATAAACGCTCTTAAACTTAAATGTCTGAAACCAAATGTAGCATCTTCTCTTCATCAAACCTGTCCTTTGTTTCAGAAAAATAGTTATTACCGAGATGCCCGCGTTGGATACTTGGAGCGTCATTTTACAATCTTCTTTTCATCCTTCCCGTACCCAGTATCTCTCAATTCTATAAATCTTATCTTCCTAAATAACTCTTAAGTCTTTCTTCTTTTATTTCTAGCACCTCAGTCGGGTCACCTGAACTTTATGCCCAAATTATTGAAACAGCCTCCATTTTTGTTCCAGTTTCCCTTAAAACACCCATTTTATATGTATTGAGCTACATTCAGTTCTTTACATACAGAAAACTTTTTTGGCCTCTGCTGATTTAGCAGTGAGTTACCTTTATGGATTCCGTATTCAACATGAGACTCCCTCTAATGATTTTTTTAAAAACCAATGTATTGAATATAGAGAGAATAATCCAGCTAGAAACTTTTATTCATGAGATTTCTAGTAAATGATGAAGTCACTAAATTGTCCTTTTATTTGCTCTTTTTGTTGCCATACCTTTAACGATAATTTTTTTTCCCTAGTGATGTTGAGTAGTGATGCCAATCACAGATTCCTTAAACATTTTATGAAACCTATTTATTAATGAGTTCTTTCATCTTTTTTCTCTGGTGAGAATTTATATTTCTTTTTTTTTTCGTATTCTTTTGAAGGTGCGGCTTGTAGATGCAGGTTTTGTTTGGACCGAGCCCCATTCTAAAAGACTTAAAGTTAAACTGACTATTCAGAAAGAGGTAAGCTATACACAGTTTTCTCAGCACGTCTAAAAGGTAGGTAGTGAAAATGAGATAATCGGTAAGTTACCTTCTGGCTTGAATAGCTTAAAAGGGAAAGATTACACTCTTAATTTTAACCTTTGGTTTTCTTTTGGGTCGTCTGCATAGATGATCAGGTTGCTAGTAAGAACAGCCATTGCTAATGATTAGTGGGTTAAAGTAATCTTTTCAACGTTAGGAAAAAGACTGAAGTAAAAGCATGAGCTAAGACAGTGTTTCTCAGGTTTGGCTAGTCATCATAATAGTTCACATTAAGTGAATCCAACTGGATCTATCTGGATGTGACACCCAGAAATCTATGTTTTAAAAGCTGCCCAGGTAATTTCCGATGATTGACCGTGTTTGGTAACAATTAAATTAAGGATTTTTTAAGTTTATTTTTTTATTTTGAGAGAGAGAGAGCAACTGGGGGAGGAGCAGAGAGAGAGAGAGAGACAGAATCCTAAGGAGGCTCTGCGCTGGCAAGCGGGGCTCAGACTCACAAACCGTTAGATCATGACCTGCACTGAAATCAAGAGTTGGACACTTAGCTGACTGAGCCACCTAGGCGTCCCTTAGTAACTTTAAATACTAAGGTTCTTAAATATGAAGTATTATTTTCTTTTAAGAAAAATGTTATTAAAAAGTAAAGAATGAAGGGGTGTGATTTTTTTTTTTTTCTTTTTCCCCACTTAACAGGTGATGAATGGTGCTATCCTTCAGCAGGTGTTTGTGGTGGATTATGTTGTTCAGCCCCAGATGTGTGGAGATTGCCACAGAGTAGAAGCTAAAGATTTCTGGAAGGCTGTGGTTCAAGTGAGGCAAAAGGTATTGACAAAAAGATGATGAGTGAATCCGCATCTTGTATTTCATCTTTGTCAGTTATTAACAGTTAGTAAAACCTCCTTTTTTTTTTTTTCAAATCCTTCAGGCACCAGGGATGGTCTAGGTTTCTGGAACATTCACCTTTAAAAGTGGTTACTATCACATTTTAGACCATCTTTAGAGGTGGTTTTGTTTTAAAAAGTCAGTGTGCTATATCTATAGATGGCTTTTTTTTTTGCATTAGTATATTAATCTAATGATGCATTTATGTTTAGACTTTGCACAAAAAAACTTTCTACTATCTGGAACAGTTGATTTTGAAATATGGAATGCATCAGAATACACTTCGTATCAAAGAAATTCATGGTGAGTTAAAATTCAAAAGCATTTGAAATGATGTCAAAATTTAGTTCAACTAATGTAAGAAGTCTCTTTATTGACAATATCTAGACTAGTACTGTCCAAAAGAACAGTTTCTTCTGTTAGGAAGGAAAAAAATCTTAGTTCTTTATCTGCATTGTCCATTATGGTATCCACTAGCTGTGTATCGCTACGGAATACTTGAAATGTATCTGGTGCAACTGAGGAGCTAAATTCTTATTTATTTCTATTTTAATTTAAATTTACACTAAGTAGCTACCAGATGAGTAAGCCAGTAGCTGCATCAATATAATGTAAAGTGCTATGATGGAAAATTCATCGAAATCTTGCTTTATGCAGAGATCAGTTTCTGATTGGAAGAAAATTATTTTTGAGATTTTTAAGTTCTTTTGTAATAAATTTTAAATGTTTATTTTTGAGAGAGTGTATGTGTGCAAGTGTGTGCACACAAGCAGGGGAGGAGCAGAGAGAGAGAGAGACATAATCTGAAGGAGGCTCCAGGCTCTGAGCTGTAGGCACAGAGCCGGACACGGGGCTTGAACCCATCCATGAGCTGCTAGATTGGACCTGAGCTGAAGTCTGATGCTTAACAAACTGAGCAACCCATGCTCCCTTGTAATATTTCTGTTTTTGATATACAAATGATATATATCTTAAAGGTGGAATTGAAAATTTTTTGTATCATTTCATAATGGCTCCTTAGAGGATGTTCTGTCTTAGCATTTTTTGTTGATATACATTAGAGATGATGGATGAATATTTCTCTAATTGATAGTAGAAAACGTAAATATTCCTTTTTTTTTTTTCACAAATAGTTTATTGTCAAGTTGGTTTCCATATAACACCCAGTGCTCATCCCCACAAGTGCCCTGCTCCATGCCTATCACCTCCTTCCTCCTCTCCCGCACCCCCACCAGCCCTCAGTTCTTGGCATTCAAGAGTCTCTCATGGTTTCCGTCCCTCCCTCTCTCCCACTATTTTTACCCTTCTTCTCCCCCATGGTCCTCCGTTAAGTTCATCCTAATCCTCCTATACGTGCAAACATATGATATTTGTCCTTCTCTGCCTGACTTATTTTGCTCAGCATAACACCCTCAAGATCCATCCATGTTGCTACACATGGCCAGATTTCGTTGTTTCTCATTGCCATGTAGTATTTCATCGTATAGATAAACCACATCTTCTTGATCCATTCGTCCGTTGATGGACACTTAGGCTCTTTCCATGTTTTGGCTATTGTTGAGAGTGCTGCTATGAACATTGGGGTACATGTGCTCTTATGCATCAGCACTCCTGTATCCCTTGGGTAAATTCCTAGCAGTGCTATTGCTGGGTCATAGGGAAGTTCTATTGTTAACTTTTTGAGGAACCTCCACACTGTTTTCCAGAGGGGCTGCACCAGTTGACATTCCCACCAACAGTGTAGGAGGGTGCCCGTTTCTCCACATCCTCGCCAGCATCTAGAGTCCTCTGATTTGCTCATTTTAGCCACTCTGACTGGCGTGGGGTGGTATCTCAGTGTGGTTTTGATTTATATTTCCCTGATGAGGAGGGATGCTGAGCATCATTTCATGTGTCTGTTGGCCATCTGGATGTCCTCTTTGGAGAAGTGTCTGTTCATATCTGAAAACATAAATATTCTTAGGCAGACTCTTCAAGTTTCTTGCTAAAGGTGAACATGTACGTATATTGTTTTCCTAGTCTCTAAAGTATAGGCTTACAGATACCTGTTCTTCAAGGAATGACCAATTCTTATATCATACTCCTCATTTTAAAACTGTGAGTTCCACTGTTACTAACTGATTTGTTACTTATATCTCATATGTCTTGAAGAAGTACTTTTGAGAAGTGTGGTCTTGGGTCCTTACATGGGGGGAAGAATATATGTAGTGATATCAACTGGAGAACATCTTTTAAGCTTTGTGTCTGACCTCAATGCTTTACCAATAGATTTAAGGTTAATAGTCTAAATTGGTGCAACACAGTTTAATGAATACTTACTGTAGGTAATGTACCTTGCTGCCCATATAACATAGTGCTTGGCAGTTTGTGGTTAGCCACCAGGCAAAAACACATCATTGTTTTGAGTAACTTGGTTTTGAGTAACTTTCTGGGGGACAAGGAGATCAAATATTCTAGTTAAGAGAGCAAAAACACTATTAATTTTTCATCACTATGACGGAAATGTACTCACAGAAATGTTTTGTAGCAAAAGACTTGGATAAGTTCTGGGTCATACTTTTGCAGTTGTTTTCAAAACCCAAATATTGCAAATTTAACAGCCCTTTGTTCATCCACAGGTTTTAATCTGGTTTTTTTTTCCCCTACTAGTTCTTGATTTGATTTAAATAAATTTTTTGTATGCGGTTTATTTGTAACTTTGTTTTTAAAATCTTAATATTAAAAATTCAAAGATAGATATGAATAAAAGACCTCTATGTCCTGTTTATCCATTTGTTATCCCCAGTGGTAGCCCCGTAAAACAAGATCATAAAATAATGTGCTCTGTATGTAAATTGTGGTAACGTTTGTTTCCCCTTATGGGGTATCATTCCATAATATCCTGTGACCTGCCATCTTAATGTATTTGGAAACCTTGCCATGTCATTGAATGTGGTCCTATTTCATTATTTTTAATCACTGTGTGTGTGAATGTATATTCATTAATCAATGTATATTTAATTAGTTCTTATTAATTGGCCTACAACATATTCCATTTTTTGCTGCTACAAATGGCACTATATTAAATATCCTAATGTTTGTGCATATGTGGTGGGTTTTCTGTGGGATTGAGTTCAAGAATTGAAATGACTAGACGGGGTGCCTGGGTGGCTCAGTTGGTTAAGCATCTGACTTCACCTCAGGTCATGATCTCAAGTTTGTGGGTTCGAGCTCCACATTGGGACTGACAGCTCAGAGCCTGGAGCTTGCTTCAGATCCCATGTCTCCCTCCATCTCTGTCCCTCCCCTGCTTGCTCTCTGTCTTTCTCCTTTCTCAAAAATAAATAAAACCTTAAAAAAATTAAAGAAATGGACTAGACAGGAGTATGCAATTAAATTTTTACATGCACTGCTAGGTTGTCTTCAGAATAGTGCCAGTTTATAGTCTCAGCACTTGCCAACACTATAAAATTGTATTGGCCTTTATAATTTTTACTGTTCTAATAGGTAAAATAATGGTTTCTTGTTTTAATTTGCATTTCCTTGATTACTAATGAGGGTTAATATTTTTATATATGTGTTGACCATTTATGTTTATGTCTTACATGAATTGTCTGTTTTCAATATGTCTATTTTTTCCCTCATTAATTTTGTGTCTTATTCTGGATATTAATCCCATTGTGTGTATGTGTATATTATGTACGTATGCTTAGAGACAGCTGGTGTGCATTTATTTGAATGTGAGCCTAAGAGAGCAGATCCTTTCTTGCATTGTCACATGCCTTTTGTCATTTAAATCTTTTATTTCATAGTTACAGAGCTATGGCTTATAAACTTGTGCCAAACATAGGAAAGCTTTTTATATTCACACAGTTACATTTTTAAAAGTAAATTATTTTGGAAGATTTTTAGTCTTAACCAATTAGAGTCATAGGTTAATCTGTTCTTTTCTACTTATTTGAAATATCTCCTTTCTTGCATACATTGACTTCCTTTTTTTTTTTTAACTTTTAAAAAAAATTTTTTTAATCTTGTGTTTATATCCCAGAGAGAGAGTGAGCAGGGGTCAGTCAGAGAGAGAGGGAGACACAGAATCTGAAGCAGGCTCCAGGCTCTGAGCTGTCAGCACAGAGCCCAACGCAGGGCTTGAGCTCATGAACTGTAAGATCATGACCTGAGCTGAAGTCAGATGCTTAACCAGTTGAGCCACCCAGGTGCTCCTCATGACACATATGATTTGCAAATATTTTCTCCTAACCCAGAGCCTATCTTTTCAAAAATGTTATCTTTTTTTATCGTGATACATACTTAACATAAAATATTCCCTCTTCTTACTTACTATATACTTATTTATATACTTATATATACTTTATTTATTTACTTATATTTACTTATATATATTTATATTTATATACTTATATATACTATATACTTACTTATATACTTATATACTTACTATAAGTATATAGTACAGTATTGTTGACTATAAATACAGTATTACTCAGCAGATCTCTAGAGCATATTCGTCTTGCTTCACTGAAACTTTATGCCCATTAATTAGCAACTCCTCTATTTCCCTTTCCTCTCAGTCTCTGGCAGCCATCATTCTACTCTTTGATTCTATGAATTTGAATATTTTAGGTACCTCATATAGGTGGGATCATGCAGTATTTGTCTTTCTGTGACTGGCTTATTTGATTTAATATAATGTCCTCAGAGTTCACCCATGTTGTTGCATATGGCAGAATTTCCTGCCTTTTTAAGGCTGAATAGTATTCCACTGGATATACACACACATTTTATGTTTTCCTCTGTTGTGGAAGCAATCCAAATGTCTGTCACCTCGGCTACTGTGAATAGTGCTGCAATAAACATGAGTATGCTGATATCTCTTTGAGATTCTGATTTCAATTCTTTTAGATAAATACTTAGAAGTGAGATTATTGGAACATATGGTGGTTCTATTTTTAAATTTTTGAAGAACCTCCATGCTATTTTTTTATAGTGGCTGCGCTATTTTTTTATAGTGGCTCCACTATTTTGGGTTTCTGCTGGAGTATACAAAAGCTCCTTTTCTCCATATTTTCATCAATACTTGTTTTCTGTTGTTATTTTGATAATAGCCATCCTAAAGAGTAGGAAGTGATAGCTCATTGTAGTTTTGATTTACATTTGCCTGATGATTTGTGACCTTGAGCATTTTTCATATGCTTGTTGGCCATTTTTGTATGTCTTATTCGGAGAAATGTCTATATAGTTTCTTTGTCCATTTAAAAAATTTAAACTTTTTAACCAGGATTAGTTTTTTTGCTATTGAGTTATAGGAGTTGCTAATATATTTTGGAGATTAACTCCTTATCTGATATATATGCTTTGCAAGTGTTTTCTCCCATTTTGTAGGTTGGCTTTTCACTGTGTTGATGTTTCTTTTGCTGTGGAGAAGCTTTTTAGTTTGATGTAGTCCCAGTTTGTTTTTGTTGCCTGTGCTTTTGGTGTCATATCCATGATATCATTGCCCAGACTGGTGTCATGAAGCTTTTCCCTCTGTTTTCTTCTGGAAGTTTTATAGTTCAAGGTCGTATATTTGATTCCTTAATCTATTTTGAGTTGATTTCTGTGTATGGTGTAAAATAAAGGTCCAGTTTCATCCTTTGCCATGAGGATATCCTGTTTTCCTAGTGAAAAGGCCATTCTTTCCTCAGCAGATTGCTTGGATCCTGTGTCAAAGATAAACTGATCATAAATGTCCCAGTTTATTTTTGGATTCTCAACTTTGTTCCATAGACCTGTTTATCTATCCTGTGCTAGTACCATGCTGTCTTGACTACTTAAAGTTACCAAGTTTTCAAATTGGGAATTATATGTTCCCAACAACTTATCTTCTTCATCTTCAATTTTTTTTTTTGTCTACTCTGAGTTATTTCAGTTTCCTAGTTAGATGAGTTATTTGGAAGAAGATCTCTGTAAACATTTCATAGCAGGTAGGTCTGCTTTTCATTGTCCCTTTGTTGCTTATTTTTAATGCTACTGCATTGTGATCAGATAATATTGTCTAATTTATAATGTTTAGAATTGATTGAAGTCTTAAAAATATTTGTATTTGATTGTTTTATGAATGTTCTATGAATTTTTGAAAATAATATGTTTTCTTGGTACTGTGTTCTATAATGTCAGTTAAATCAACCTTGATAGTTAATTATTCAAGTTCTATGTATCCTTCCTATTTTTAGTCTGTTTGGTCATTTTGGTTTTGATAGTCTCATACTAGTCCCCCACAGTGATTGTACATGTGTTAACATTTATAAATTTCTTTTTTTCCTTTTTTATAGTTTTCTTTTTGCATCTCACTACTATGTTATTAGATGCATCCTATTATCTTCTTGGTAGATTATTTATTATAGAAAAATATTCTTCTGTTCAGTGTTTTTCTCTCCTCTTTAGACCTTGAATTTTACTTTGTCTAAAATTAAAATTGTGAATCATTTTTTGTTGTTGGTTTTCTTGTTTTAAAGTTTATTTATTTATTTTGACACGGGGGAGGTGGGCAGGGGAGGGAGAGGGAGGGAGAATCCCAAGCAGGCTCCACTCTGTTAGCATGGAGCCAGATGTGGGGCTTGAACATGGGAACCATGACATCATGACCTGAGCTGAAATCAACAGTTGGATGCTTAACTGATTGAGCCAGCCAGGTGCCCCTAAAATTGTGAATCTTGTTTTCTTTTGTTGTTATTTGTTTATCTTTTTGTTAAGTGAGTCTTAATTGATATGATATAATATTTTTTAGTGTTTTCTGATAATTTAATTGTTCACTACACATTTAATTTGTGATATAGTCATGTTAGTAGAGGAAAATTTTATTTGCAGAATGATTTTCACGTGGCTTTCCTTTTCTTTTCTTTTTAAAGATGGGCTGGATTTCTATTATTCCTCAAAACAGCATGCTCAGAAGATGGTAGAATTTCTTCAGTGTACAGTTCCCTGTAGGTATGTTCTGAACCTAACTGTGATTAAGTCCAAGGATCTGGGAATGGATGTAGGTCACATCCATTCTTCAGGCTTAGACTGCTTCTCTTTTATGTTCAAATATTTAAAACTGTAGTCGAAGGGGCTTCTGGGTGGATCAGTCAGTTAAGTGTCTGGCTCTTGATTTTGGCTCAGGTCATGATTTCATGGTTCTTAAGAGTGAGCCCCAAGTTGAGCTTGATGCTGACAAGGCAGAGCCTGCTTGGGATTCTCTCTTCTCTCTCTCCCTCTTGCTCTGCCCTTTCCCAGCTTTCTCTCCCTCTCTCTCTTAAATAAATAAAGTAAACTTTAAAAATTAAAAAAAAATAGCTGTAGTAAGCTGTACTTACCTAATTAGTAAGCATCTGTTGCACTAACCACTTTAAAGAAATTATTAGCCAAAGAGTATATAAGAATCTCTTTGGGAATTAGACCTCACCCTGTGATAAGTAGTATAGTGCTAAACCTTTGATTGAATGTATTTAAATAAGACAAAAGAAAGATGGGTGTAGAGGGCTTTGGGGAGAAGCTTTATGATAGAAGAAAGCCTGAAGCTCCTAAAATGGGAAATTTTGAGAAGTAGAGTATGGTGAAAGGTGAGATTAGTGTGAACAAAAACTTGTGGTGGACATTAGTGTGGCTTTTAATGGATACTATATATAGACTACATTGGTCTGAGCCAAGGGCATGTTTTGGAGGTTTTGAGTAGATAAAATTGAAAAGAGGTAGAGTACAGTTTGATTGATGAAGGTTTTGAAGTGTAAGTGGATGAAATTAGGCTTTGCCATAATACAGGCATCAGGAAGCTGTTTCGGACCTTGGACAGTGATGATTTGATTTGATAAAAATTCATATTCCCTAGACTGTATAAGTAGGGACCTTTGGTTTTATATTATTATAAACTTTGTTTCTTAACAGACACAAAGCCTCACAGAGACTGATCTCTCAGGATATCCACAGTAACACATACAATTACAAAAGCACTTTTTCTGTGGAAATTGTTCCAATTTGCAAGGTACTTTTTCCTCATTTAATTCATGTCTATAAAAGAGTACAAGTAATTAATTGGTTTATATGTAATAACTTCTGAGTTTCTTCTGAGATTGGTTAAAAATTTAGAGTAACTTTTAAAGGATTCCTTTGTGACATACGCAATCATGTTAAAAAGATGTTAAAAAATAATCATGCTCAAATTGTAAATTGGCATACCCATCTTTTTGGTGTACTAATTAAAAGGCCTAGTTGAAGTTTTTTAATGTTCATATTTCTTAAAATTTGTGATCCTAGTAGACACACAAAAAGTATTATGAAAATTTGAATACAGGAAATGACATTAAAAAAAGTATCAGTGAACCATTTTGTAGAATGTGCGCAAAATGGATTTTGGCATGATGAAATTAAACAGTATGGTGAAAATGAGATGATAGAATCATTTTTGTGATTTAAAAACATCTGAATAAGTGTAGATTATCATTTCATTTCATTGCATTAAAGTAAAACCCTGCTTCAAAAATATAAATGTATTAAAATTCAACAAATAATTACTGAGAATCTACTACATAGAAGGCAGTGTATTAAGGATTATGTGTTAAAGGTCTCTACCATGTAGGAGCTTTTATGTCAGTATCAACTAATAATGATAAGTGCCATAATTAATTGTGACCATTCCATATAAAGTTAATATATTTGAGTATATTTCACTTTTTCACATCCCATTATAACTGAAGTAAATCATATCATCATTTTGAACATGAGAAAAGTGAAGGTTCGGGAGATTAGATGACTTGCTCAGAGTTACATAACTACAAAATGAAAAAGCCAGGATTTATGCCTACGCAAATGATTCTAAATCTATAAAGATACTTTCACTAATTTATGGTGTAGTATGTGGTAAAAGGATGAAATGATAGCCTAAAACAGGGTCAGCATGTACACCTGGCTGGCTCCATTGGTACAGCATGTGACTCTTGATCTCAGGGTTGTGAGTTAGCCACCCCCCCACCCCCGCCGTTGGTCATGGAGGCTACTTTAAAAAAAAAAAAAAATGCAAAACAGGGTTAACAAACTTCTGTAAAAGGCCAGATAGTGAATATTTTTACACAATGTCAAAGAGTATTTTCATTAATATTTGGAGACTTACTAAATTAAAAACAAAGTACTGGACTAGGTTCTATTAGGGATTCATAGAATGCTCCTTCAGTGGAGGAGACTATGATTATGAATACAGCTTAAAATATAATCCAGATCCCTTTTGTATTTTAATACAATTTAAAAACAGATAACTACATTGCTGATAATATTTTCTAATGTATACATGGACATATGTGCTTTTTGGGCATTAAGTCTTTGATTACGTACTGGTGCATGTAGCCATGATAGAGAAGAAACATGTGGCTCCTCTGAAATTTGTTTTTTATGGAATTTGAAAGAAATCACAAGTAGATTTAGAAAGTCACTCTCCTGCTGTTTATAATACTTTAGAATGTATTTTGTACTACCATGGAGCAGTAAGCATTCACACTTCAGTAAAATTGAAATAAACTTAATAGCTTGGTGAATAAGATCTGAAAAAATACTTTTAAAGCATGTTTATTACAATAGATATTCCCATCTTAAGAATAACTTATTTTCTTTTTCTCTAAGATTTGATTCTTTCCTTTAGGCTCTTTGTTGATAAATAGAATTAAAAATAACATTTTGGTTTGGGCATATACACTTGGATCAGGCTTATATGGATGAGTGTTTATTGGAGATAGTTATTTAGGATTTGCTTCACTCTAACTGTTAGTTCTTATGCCTAGGATAATGTTGTTTGTCTGTCTCCGAGACTGGCACAAAGCCTGGGAAATATGAACCAGATTTGTGTGTGTATTCGAGTAACTAGCGCCATCCATCTCATAGATCCAAATACCCTTCAAGGTGAGTTTTAGGAAATATTTGTCTTGACGGTTTTGTCCAGCAAGCAGTAATAATTTATTAATTTTATCAAACATTCTCAGTAATATTTGTTATGCAAAACAGTTGGGAGTTTTACTGCAAGTTAGTTCTTACAAAATAGTGGCATTTTTAAAGCTTTTGATTAGTAACACCTTATATTTTTTATTTGGAGAAACAAGTCTGTGAACTTTAAAAAATTTACTAATTCTAGTTCATATATTTTTACTGAAATTGACTTATGTCATTTAATTTTTGTGATACTTAAGTTCATTGCCAAGTTTAGCGTTTAGCAAATATTTCAAAGTTTGGAACATTTGACTTCTTAGTAATGCAGTAAAACATTTAGTTTAAATATAAATTTTAACTAATCTCATCATTATCACATAATTTTTAACATTTCCTTTTATAAAAACTAATTTTTATTTTTGAGAGAGAGAGATAAAGCATAAGCTGGGGAGGAGCAGAGAGAGGGAGACACAAAATCTGAAGCAGGGTCCGAGCTTGACCTGTCAGCACAGAGCCCACCATGGGGCTCAAACCCACAAACCACGAGATCATGACCCAAGCTGATGTCGGACACTTAACTGACTAAGCCACCCGGGCACCCCAATGAAAACTAATTTTTAAAGATCTCACATTGATAGGAGATGCAAGTCTCAGTACTTGCTTGCATCTCCTCCTCCTTGATCTTTTTCACTTATTTCCTATAAGTTTTCTATTATAAAAAGTTGAGTTTATAGTTTTTAGAGAGTCCTTTATTATCCTTGTCAATTAGAAGTCATAATTCAAAATTATGTTTGCAGTATTGGGATGAACATCTGTCAGGTAGAACTTTACTTCCCATAAACAGCTAAGATGATTGATAACATTTCTAACATTCATGTGCCAGCACATGAAACAAGTATATAACTGAATGGATCTTATCTTATTTTCAAGGCACTTAGCTCTGCGGGATTTTGATGATAGTAACTACCTAAGATATAACTGACACCTGAAACTTTTCTTGTGCTGTGAAAAGTTTGGGGCTGATTTATAGGAGTAAATGACAACCTAGAGAGTTGCCATTGTGGTCTGTTGACCTCATGCTTCCCAGTTCATAGATACCAACTTCTTCCTCATTAGCACATTTGATGGCTTTTGAAATACTTCATTTCTGTTGTTCTTTGATGTTCTGTGTTTATACTTAGTTGCGGATATTGATGGAAGCACTTTCTGGAGTAACCCTTTCAATAGTTTATGCCATCCCAAACAGCTAGAGGAATTTATTGTGATGGAATGCAGCATAGTCCGAGATTTAAAACGCAATGCAGGTGCTGGAATGATATCAAAAAAGGTAAGTTCTGTCCTGCCCATCTTTTTTTCTCCCCAGTTCATTGTTTTGGTCCCTCTCTTGTATTTTTATGTTTTTTAGTTTTTAGTAATTCCAAAATGTGATTCCAGATAAAGCTAACACCTCATTAGGTTACAAATGCATTCCATATTTGTATGTTACTTGTTTTTAATATGTGGTCATTGTGGTGAAATTTATTAGACTTAATCTGATAGATTCATTTTTCTCTTTAATGTTGTGAACATTTTAAAAAATGTTTATTGTGAAAAAGCATTTCTTTGCTTTACTTTTGTATAGAAGGACCAAATGACAAGCAAACCTTTTCTGACTAAAAGTTTTCAAACATTTTAAATTTAAGATGTTATATTATCACTAATTACTGAATACTCAGAATGCATCTCTAAAACAACATTTTTCTACAGAATCAAAGTATTATCATTTATATATAGTTTATATTCAGATTTCCTTGTTTGTCCCAAAATGCCTTTTATGTTCAAAGTAGTACCCAGCTGAGGACCATGTATTGAATTGAATATTATACCTCTTAAATTTTTTACTTAATAATAGCCCCCTTCCATTCTTTCTTTTTTTCTTTTTTTTTTCTTTTTCTCTTTCATGATAATCAACTTCCAAGGCAACTAGGGCATTTATCTTATGGATCTCTTACTGTTTCCTCATGATGTCATTTAGCTTTCTTCTTAATTTCTTTTAATGAAAAGTGATCTAAAAGGCTTTCTTAAACTTAGGTTATTTTTGGCCAGAACATTTCAGAAGTGTTGCTGTGTACCTTTTACGATATATAAAGTGATAGTAGTGTTTGGGTGTTTCACTGATAGCCAGATCTCTTCATTGTAATAATTATGATTTATTTTCCCTTTGTTATTAGCCTGCCTTTCTTCCTTCTTTCCTCCCATTCACGTTGCTCCATATTTAGCAAGTGGGAGCTCCTGAATTTTTAAAAAAAATGTTTTTGAAAGAATTGTACTTTTTTAGAACAGTTTTAGGTTCACCACAAAATTATGAGGAATAAGAGATTTCCCATGTACTCCCTGCCTTCATACATGTGATAGCCTCCGTTACCAGTATTCACCCATCAGAGTGGTACATTTGTTACAATTGATGAATCTACATTGATACATGATAACCATGCCAAGTCCATAGTTTACATTATGTTTCTCTCTTAATGTACATTTTATGGGTTTAGACAAATGTATAATGACATGTGTCCCTCACTATAGTGTCATAAAGGGATTTATGTAACTTATTTTCCCTGCTCTGAAAATCCTCTGTGTGCTGCTTGTTCATCCTTCCCTCTCTCCTAATCCCTGTCAATCACTGATGTTTTTACTCTGTAGTTTTGCTTTTTCCAGAATGTTATAGAGTTAGCAGGATATAATCTTTAAGTACCAAATAACATTTCATTGTGTGGATTTACCACAGTTTGCCTATTCATGTAGTGAAGGACATCTTGGCTGCTTCCAAGTTTTGACAATTATAAATAAAGTTGTATAAACATCCTTGTGTTTTCAGTTTTGTGTAGATGTAAGTTTTCAACTCCTTTGGGTAAGTAACTACCAAGGAGCACGTTTTGTCATATCCCAGGTGCCCCAACACATGTTTCGTTTTGAAGAAACTAGTAATTTTTTCCCTCAGTTCTTTCCTAAATCTGGGACCTATCATTTTTCAGTTTTTCCATCTACTTTTCACCTCTCTGAGATTCCTCAATTCCTCGATTTATTACTCCTAATTATTTTCCTCTTGTTCCCGCTTTACCTAGTTCTCTTTTTGTTAGTAAGAAGTATTGGCAAATGCTATACTTAATTCAGCCTAGAAATTTGAAATGCCAGTTATATTGCTTGTAAAGTCTGTCTTGGAAAGGGACTTTAATCCTTTCCTAGTTCAAAATTTCAAGCTTGGAATGTTGTTTCTGCATCAAATATTAAAGAAAAAAGAGGGTTTTAGCTCAAATAGTAGACATCTAAAAATTAATTTCATAAAGATTTGGTTTCTATAGTAGCAGCAGCAGCAGCAGCAGTAGTGGTAGTAGTAGTGCCACCACTGGGATTGCTAGAATGTTTTGTCTGAACCTTTTTTTTTTTTAAACTTATGTGTAAAAAAGAGGTTGCTTTGGATATTTTCCAGAGTTAAGATTCCTTTACTTTTTCAGTTATTATTCTTGCTCTTTGTATTGCCTATCTCCCTGTGAAAACATTTGTTTTGAAAATTCTATATATGTTGTTTGTGTTGAGGTGACATTGTTAATGTTTTATAAAATAAAATCTTAATCATTTATTTTATGTATTCCTTGAGTCTATATCCAATACAGTAATATTTTAGTTTTGACAGTGTTTCAGAGATCTGAAAAATAAAGTTACTTTCTTTATAATGAAAATTAGAAAACCAAAATCAACATTGTGTATAATTTTTGTGAGATACATTTCGAGTTATACTCGGTTATTGAAGAGTGCATTTTCTTTCCTGTCAAGCATACCCTTGGGGAAGTCTGGGTACAGAAAACATCCGAAATGAATACAGATAAACAGTACTTTTGTCGCACTCATTTGGGACATCTTCTAAATCCTGGAGACCTGGTATTGGGGTTTGTATTATTTTATAGTGTTTTCTTTTTTCTTTTCTCTTCTGGGTGTGAGCATGCCCACATGAGTGGGGAAGGGTCAGATGGAGAGGGGGAGAGAGAATCTTAAGGAGGCTCCATGCCCAGTGCAGCATGGAGCCCAAAGTGTGACTTAAACTCACGACCCTAAGATCACGACCTAAGCTGAAATTAAGTCAGATATTTAACCAGCTGAACCACCCAGGTGCCACTATAAATACTATAGTATTTTAAACTGGCAATTGGCATTGTAAATTTTCTTTGGAATCCAGCAAAGCCATCTAAAATACTGAAGTTGTTTATTCCAAAAAAGAATTTTAAGAGTTTAGAAGCTTTACATTTCGCTTATTGGTAACTAAATTAAACTGGATTGGATAAAAGCTCATAGTTACTCCATTTTTTTAAAGAATCATTTTTTTTTAGTAAACTAAATGGAACCATCTAACTGAATTCTTAATGTTATACTGATCTGTGTCTGTTTGGATTCTTTTACAAGTATATGGTAAGGTGGACAATCATGGATGATACATGAAACTCACAGATAGCAGTGCATTATTGTTTTTACCAGTATCTATAAAGGCATGCTCACTGTATAGTAAACTGCAAAACTTTTAACGTGGAAAAGCATGTTAAATGTTAATGTTAGGAACTCTAAATTCCATAAAATAAAAAGTTATGTGGAAAGCATAAATGTTTCTGTCATTAAGTGTTGATTTTTATTTCAGATTTGATTTGGCCAACTGTAACTTAAATGATGAGTATGTCAACAAAATGAACTCAGATAGAGTCCCAGATGTGGTAAGGCTTTAGATTTTTTCCTATGTTAAAGAGGATTGATAACTCTAATGGGTAAGATGCAGGAGTTCACATTTTTTAAAATAAAATCTATTTAGAGGTTTCTTTTGAAATTGCAGTTAAGGTGTATGGCAAAGCCTTTATGCTTAATCATGTGTCTTTGAGGAGAAAATCCAAGATTTATTGAGTTTTTTTGTTGCTCTTAAAATCCTGTAATCAAATTTGCATTCTCTGTCAGAATGGTTTGATACCATCTGTAGAGCAAAAATAAATTTTCAGATAAAAATGATGACCATTAGAACTTAATGTAGATTCATTCTTTTAGGCTTAGCTTATTTTATATGTTGTTCAGTTAAAGCATTTAGAATTTAAACCATCATTTAGATTATTCAGGCTTAAATATAATTGCAATTGAAAATAATCTTTCAGGTGTTGGGTCTTAGAGAAAGAATGTCACTTCTTAAAAAAAAAAACTGTTAAATACTAACATGAGTTTATTAGAATCATAAACAAGAGTGAATGTGAAATGGGAAAGACTCTATCTCCTGCTTGCCTTATTCTTTAAAATAAACACTAATCTCTTTAGCTGTGGGCAAAAATAAAGTCATGATATAAGAAGGACTCCCCTTCTCACCACCCAGTTGTGCTTTTATTAATTAAGAAATAGAAGCATAGTTTAGATAGAGTTTAACAAGGTTGTAAGAGGAGATGAAGACAGTCATACAAGATTTTGCATTGTGTAAAATTATTTTTATTCCACAATTTTTCAAACTGTCATAGGACATACATTTGTGAAAGATATATGTACTTCTTTAAGTACTTAGTAGTAATAAAAGGAAAAATTCTGCCTGTGATAATATTTCAGGATGATTAAGACATCTGAAATTTAAAATATTTGGTATAAAAAAGCAATTTAATTTTTAGTCACTGCAAAATTTCATTAGTAAATTATAACAGTTATGCAAATAATGGCTGAATGCTTCTCATAAAATACTAAGTACATGAAGAAAAATGTTAAAAAGTTCTCTTGACCCTGCCTCTTGATCCCTACTTTTTTCCCCTAAGATGTAACCACTCATCAGTTTGGTGACTTTTTGGCATTCTCAGAATCTTTCATTTTTTAACTTTGTTGAACTTTGAGGCCCCATTATTTAGTTACCATTTTTTATAACTGCATATATTTATTTTACTTTCAGGTGTTAATCAAGAAGAGCTATGACCGTACCAAACGTCAGCGTCGTAGAAACTGGAAACTGAAAGAGCTTGCAAGAGATAGAGAAAACATGGATACAGATGATGAAAGGTCCTACTTTTCTTTAAACCTTATATGTTGTCTAAAAGGAAACCCTTGTAATAAATCTTTATAGTTTTTATATATAGTCATCCCTTGATTATTCCATTCAATATTAATTTTGTATTCTTTCTGTGTTAATTGAATCAGTATAAGAGGATATCAAATCAGTGTAGGAGGATATAATGATACTTAACAGATTTGATTATTATTTCCTGGGTTTTGACCTGAGAATTACAGCATCATTGTAAACAATGCATTTGAAAAGTTAACATTAGTAATACGTTGTGGATATCACAAATAGCAAGTGAGTACTTATGACTTGGGATGAAAAGAAAATAGCCCTTTAATATCAAATTTCTGTTTTTCAAACAACTTAAGGAGGCATGAAGATGTTGGGTTTTAGAAAATTGTATTGGATGATTGAAAAATGATCTTAATGATGGTGAAGACACTTTCTAAAAACATGAAGAGTTTAAATAAAATTGTGTTATGAAATGTAAGTGGGAAATAGCAATATTTCCAAAATATAGTCTCATGTAATTTAAAATAAGTATTTATAAATATATAATGTTAAATTAGATATTATAAGTACATATTTGATTATTTCATCTATAGACTTAAAAGTTCATGTATTTTAACTTGGCCATAAGACTTGAGGGGAGGGACATTAAAGTTTATTTACTTTTAGAGAGAGTGTGAGCACCGGAGGGGCAGAGAGAGAGAGGGAGATACAGAATCTCAATCAGGCTCCATGCTGTCAGTGTAGGCCAAATGCAGGGCTCAAACTCACAAACTGAGATCATGACTTGAACCAGAATCAGGAGTTGGATGCTTAAGTCCAAGAGCCACCCAGGCACCCCAGTTGTGTATTTGTCATGTAATTTTGAAGGAAAATATTTTTTTAAACTTGTCAGAGTATTTAATTAACATCCATATTTGACCTTCAGGTATTATTTTTAAGGAATTTAATACATGGAACACATTTATCTTAGTGCTGAAAATGAAGAAAACACAACTCCATACTGTCTTGGTAAAAATGAAATATGTAAATGTTTCTTTATTCTTCTGTAGGCAATACCAAGATTTCCTTGAAGATCTTGAAGATGATGAGGCAATTAGAAAAAATGTAAACATTTATAGAGGTTAGTGTTGTAGGATTGTCTAATATAAGTTGCATCTTTTGTTTTTTATGTTACCCCAGTATAAGTATTTTGGTGTCTTAAACTTTCATTCAATAGATGACTTACTGTGTGTTTTTAAAAGTTCTCTAATTAAACATTCACAAAAAATAAAAATACTTGCAGAACAGTAGGACTTATTAAAATGTTGTTTGCTTTATCACATTTGATATCATTGTATCTTAGCATGACCCTTCAAGTTCCTGATCCCTATACCAACGGATATTTATTCATATGTTTATTTAGTTCAGTCATTCAGTGAATATAAATGCCTGCTCTAGATATGGTACAAGAACTGCTAATATGATATGTTTAAATAATAGTAAAGATGGTAGGGGCAGGCAGTTTGTATGTTTTCAGATTTGTATTTGAAATCCTCCTTGTAATTTTTTAGATTCAGCCATTCCTGTGGAAAGTGACACAGATGATGAAGGAGCACCTCGAATTAGTCTGGCTGAGATGCTTGAAGACCTTCACATTTCCCAAGATGCTACTGGTGTAGAAGGTGAATTGATGATGACACAATGACATTAGGTTGTAGATGATTTTCGTATCTGTAGGCTTAGGGTGTTGGACAAAATAACTTTTATTGTCTATTGCATTTGTGCTTCCATATTGAGAGAGGAGAAATTTAGTTTTAAACTTGAATAAATAGGATTATTTTCATCGCTTATTCAGAGCACTGAAAGAGATTGATGGTTTTGAAGTTTTAGATAAAAGATTATGGAGAATGTAATTATTACTGATATTTAGGCCCTTTTGCATGTGGAATTTTATAAAAGTTTGCCTTTTTAGGAGACCCTACTATTTTTGCATGTAGCACTGGGTTTCATATCTTAAAAGTTGTGATTATTTGGAGGTTACCTAAATCTTGAAGCCTAAAACAAGCGTTTACATTCATTTTGCATTGATTGCTTTAGTAAAAGAGCATATGAAGAATCATTTTTAGTATGAACTTGTTATGCACTTTGATCCACTTTAGATCACTTTTATGTCATTGGGGTAGGTAAGTTGGGGTTCAGTTTATTACTGGACATTCAGGGGAAGCTAATCTATTTTATTTATAATGTTAACATATTCAAAAGCTGTTAAATTGGGGATTATCTTAATTTTTATTGCAGAAGAAAATATATTTAAAATATATATGGATCTGTAGCAAACATAGACTACTTGAAAGCTAAAAATTTGTACTTTTTGCTCATGCTAGCAGCTTAAGAGCAGTAGCTTATGTCATAAAAATGTTTTCCTGTCACTTCAAACATTTTTGCTTTTAGGATTTTTCATTTTCAAATTGAGAAAAGAATTTTTTATATTAAGTTTCTGTCATTGAATAGATCACCATCAAAAAGAATATTAGAAATCAGCATATAGATGATGAAATAATAAAAATGATCTTTATGCTTTAAGAAACCATGAATCAGACATGAATGAGAAATACCTCCCACAGCCTTGAAAGTAAAGCATTGGCTTGAGGTTTAAAATGTTCTGAGAATGAAGTATTAAGATCCTGTTTCAATAAGCAAGATCAGACTTACTGAGTATGCCAGAACTAAGAGCTAATTCTTAAACTCTGGGTATACCACTAAATAAGGGAATTAAGTAAGAGCTGAATGGAACACTTCACTTTTTTTAAGATTAGACTCCCCAGTTCTGAAGTTATGTATAAAGGCCTGAAGTTTTTAAAGTGGCTCCTATTCTGTCTGCATATTTAGTTAAAGTTTTCACTTGTGGTTTGGTTTACCTCTTGTATGTCAAGACTTTAAAAACATGAAATAAAAACATTCTCCCCTTTTTTGTGTGTTCTTGAAGTGATTGTATTAGTGTCATATTTAAATGACAGAATATCTTATGCAGTTTTCCCAGGTGAAATTATTTAAGTATTTGTCATATGATTTTCCCACTAAAAATACAGTTTCCTGCTGTACTTATTTAGTTTTATTCTCTTTGATGTCATCTTTATGAGTAATAAAACTTGTTAGTTGAAAGAAAGCTATGACAAGGTGAAGGAATATAGCTAGAAAAGATGATAGCCAAGAGCTCTCACAGAATTACACAGCCTTGATAAACTTACCATTTTAAGAGCATAGTTCACAAGCTATGGGTCCCCAAATACTCTTGTCCATGTCCCAGAGTTGATACAATTTGGGAAGGCTGGTATCGATCAAATTTTCAAGAAGGTGATTTACAACCCAGTTTATAAATATGAGTAATTTCTAAGTCAGTATGATAAGTTATCTTCACTTGAAGGTAGTGTTTTATAGGTGGAAGTCATTTTATGAGCATGCAAAGAGTTGAGGGAGAATTGCTTGTATAATTTAACAGCATCAGGCTAATCCTTGCCATAGTAGAATCTAAAACTCCAGGCGGAGTTCCAGGACTAGACACTCCTCTGTAGTCAATACTGACTAAGTGCCAGCATTTTCCCTAGACTATTTTAGTAAGTTGGTTCATATTGATTTCATCCTTTAGATTACTTGATCTGTTATTTTTAGCCCAAGGGTTGTTGCTTTTTTCAATAGTTTGCTTTCAGTTTTGATACAATTTCAGACTAAGTTACAAGAATAGTACAAAGAATTCCTGGATACTCTTCCCTCAGATTTGTCAAATGCGAAAGCTTACCTCGTTTGCTTTCTTTCTAATTAGGTTTTCTTACATAAACATAGGGCAGTGATCAAAATCATAAAATTAACATTGACACAATAGTGATATCTAATCATTGGGCCATATTGAAATTGTCAGTGTTCCCACCTATGAAGTCTTTTATAGAAAAAATAAATCTAAGATTGTGCATTGCCCTGGGTTCTCATATCTTTAGACTACTTTCATCTGGACCATTTCTCGAGTTTTTGTTTTAGGTAATTGGCATTTTCGAAGAGTCCAAGCCAGTCATTTTGTAAAATGACCCCAATTTAGCCTTGTTTGATGGTTTCTCATCATCAGATTTAGGATAAACCCTTTTAGAAGGACTAGAGGTAATACCAAGTTCCCAGAAGTAATACCAAATTCTCAATGCATTTGTATCAGGAGACTTGTGCTGTTGATTAGTCCAAATGTCCCTAAGCTTTCTTAGGTTGTTAGTTGGTTTTCTGTTTTAAGGAATTAGAGGATTTATTCCTTTATAATCATTATTTTCCCTGATTTTTCCTTTCAAATGTATTTTTAACTTACAGACAGTGAAATTCAGTTTTGTGATATACAGTTCCATGAATTTTAATACATGTAGATTCATACAGTTACCACCACAAATTCCAGAACAATTTTATCATTCCTCCAGCACCCCCCACCCCAAAATTCCCTTTGCTACCCCTTTGTTTTCAAGCCCTTCCCTCGTCCTTAACCAACCCCCAACCTCTGTAACTTTGGATCTGTTCGCCGACTTTATGGTTTGTTTTTTCCAAAAATGTAAATGAAATCATACAGTTTGTAGCCTCTGAGTCTCTCTGTTTTCACAGCGTGGTGCACTTGAGATTCATCCAGGATGTGTATATATTCATCCAAGGTTTGTTTCTTTTCACTTTGAGTAATATGGTGTTCCAGTTATCCATTCCCCTATTGAGGCACATTTGAATTTCCAGGTTTTGATGATTAGGAGTAAAGCTACTATGAACATTTCTGTATAGATTTTCATTTTACTTAGGTAAATAAATATGGATAGGATTGTTGGGTCCTATAAATGTATACATATATTTAACTTTATAAAAATTTGCCAAACTCTTTTTCTGAAGTAGTTTGTGGCATTTTAGTTTCTTAACTGCAGTGTGTGAACTTTTCAGATATTCTGCATACTCACCACTGCTTGGTGGTGTCAGGTTGTTTTAAAGCCAGACTGATAGGTAGATGGTGGTGTTTTTCTGTGGTTTTAATTTTCATCTCCCTAATGGCTAATTATGTTAAGCATCTTCTCATGTACTTATTTGTTACCCATATATGTTTATTGGTAGAATGGCCATTCAGATCTTTTGTCTGTTTCTGGAAGAGGGGTTGTTTGGTTTTTTTATTGGTTTAATTTTTTATTTTTATTGGCCAGTGGATACCCCCATCAATCTGGCTTTTGTGTCCTTTTTAACAGGCTCTTTTCCATATATATATTTGATCTTGTTCATGGATACTGATATTACAATGTTAGGGCAGGTTTTGGGTTTTCCTTGTTCAAGCCCCACATGCAATCTGCTCTTGGCTTAGTTTCACGATACAGACTAATTTACCTAAAAATAGACCAATTTACTCAGCCTTAGTTGAGTCACCCTGTGAATTAAGGAATCATGAAATGGCATCATAAAAAACACAGATACAGGCTATTCATTCTATTTATCAATTCTGTCACATGTTGAAATAACTTGAGCAGTGGGGTGGTAAGCCCTGATGAAAGCAAGAAGTCAGCCTCAGTATCTCTTTGAATTTCAAAGTAGTATGTGGAGAATATTGAATTTTAGTTCTTTACTTGACACTTTGAAAGAACTGCTTATTACCTAGGAAAAAAGTATGATTCACAATTTCTGGTAAAACGAGATCTCTATAAGTACTTAAAAGTTATTTGGTGTAGGTTTGGTAGCCACGGTGTTTCTTACATAGTAATGCAGCTTGTTGTGTTATCAGATGGAGATTTTGTTTTATGTTTTTGGTGGAGTTAGCACTGCAGTGGTGCCTATCACACATTTTTCTTATAACACAGTTTCACATAAATAGGGTTTTTTATAATTCACTTCATAGCATTGTTGTGAAGTGCTTTCAGATAATATATATACCAGCATTAGCTGATGAAGTACTATACAAGTAATTCTGGGGAAGCTATCTTATGTAGAAATAAAAGGAAGTTTTGGAATCAGTTTACCTGCTACCTCTTAGCTGTATGACTTAAAGTTTCTGATGCTCTGTATCTTCACATTTTATTTTATTAATTTTTAAGTTTTTTTGTTTTGAGAGAGAGTGGGGGAGGGGAAAAGAGAGAGGGAGTGAGAGAGTTCCAAGCACTGTGCAGGACGACTCACCCTGAGCTGAAATCAGGAATTGGACACTTACCTGAGACTGAGCCACCCTGACACCCCACATTTCTTCACATTTTAAAAAGGAGTAATACTGTTCACTATAATTGTTAAAATAATTCCTCATATAATTGTTAAAATTGTTTTTAACTATTTTAAAATTCCTTATATACAATTCATAGCAAATTGTAATTATTTAATAGTCTTTGCTTTTAAAATTTATAATTACAATTCCCGTGTTTAATATTTAAACACGTTGAAAAAAAACCACAAATCTTGTATGTATAGACTTTTTAGAGCAGCATAGAGCTTATCCTAGAAAATGTGTGTAATACAGAGAAGTATAAAGACAAAAGCATAGATTACCCATGTTTTCCTTATAGAGAGATTATCACTGTTAATGTTTTGTTAGTAGATTTTAGATCTTCTGAAAAATTGAAAGGATAGTACAGAGTTCACATGGCACCCCCAGCTTCTTATATTACTTAATGAGTCAATACTGTTATATTATTATTAACTAAAGTCTATATTTTAGATATCTTTAGTTCTTATTTAATGTACTTTTTCTTTTCTAAGATCCCATCTGGGATACCATGTTAACATTTATTTTTTTAATGTTTATTTATTTATTTTTGAGAGAGGGAAAGAGAGATGGAGGAGGGTACAGATACACACACACAATACACACAGGCATGTGCCTATGGGCAAGAGCTAGGGAGGGGCAGAAAGGGAGAGAGAATCCCAAGGCCCCGTGCTCAGCGTGGAGCTCAATATGGGGCTGTCTCAAAACTGAGATCATTACCTGAGCCAAAAATTGAGTCGGATGCTTAACTGACTGAAACCCCCAAACACCCCTCCATGTTACATTTAGTTGGCATTTTTTTCTTAGTTTCCTCTTGGCAGTGGCTATTTCTCCCACTTTCCTTGTTTTTGAGGACCTTAACAGTTTTGAGGAGTGTTTGTCAAATATTTTGTAGGATACCCCACTATTGGAATTTGATGTTTTTCTCTTAGAGGACTGGGATTATGGGTTATTGGGAGGAAGACCACAGGCAAAATGCTATTTTTATGACATTATATCAAGGGCATATACTGTCAACTTGATTAGTCACTTTTGATGTTGGCCTTGATCACCTGACTGAGGTAGTGCTTCTCAAAGATTTCTCTATTCCCCACCTTTCCATAATGTACACTTTAGAAGGAAGTCACTCTGCACAGCCTGTACCTAAGAAGTAGTGAGTCCTACTTCCTCTCCTTAAGGATGAGATATCTATATAAATTATTTCAAACACTTCTGTATTGGAGATTTGTCTCTTTCCTCCC